GGAATAACTGGTAAGATGTTCCAGTGGATAAGGGAGTACCTAAGCAATAGGAAGCAGAGAGTTACAGTGAGGGGGGGAGACCTCAGATTGGCGTGAGGTTACAAGTGGAGTCCCACAGGGCTCTTCACTCGGAACTATCCTGTTTCTGATATACGTAAATAATATCTCAGATGGTATTGACTCATTCCTCTCAATGTTTGCTGACGAGTGTTCCAGTATTCATATAGTAATTACACAATTCAGCATACCTTAGCCCAGGAGGGCGAAAGTCAGTCAGTATGGGACATTCTACACTATAATGTTCAAGTGAGTGCATGTTTTCTCTTTCACAAAGTTGACACATTGTGTACTCGACATTTGGGTTTTGAGAAAGCTGCCAGATACGTCTATATCCCAAGCGTATTCTGGCCACTATAACATCACATTGCCGGGTTCTTGTTCTATTAGTCCCATATGTGAATGTCTCCTCACGATATCTTTCATAATATTTAATGCTACAACTTTCAGGTCTTTGTGAATTTGTTAGGTCGGTGAGATCTTCATTAGATATTTGTTTAAGTATTCTCTTTGTCACTGCTAATGAAACACCCATATCAATTTCAACCTCTGGTTTTCTACAGGCTGTCTTAGGAAGCATATCAACAGTGTCATGCTTTGAGATGCCAACATGTGATGGTATCCATAGGAATTTAATTTCAAATCTGTTTTCTTTAGCAACCAAAACATTCATTCGAATATCACTGACTATTTTCTGGGTGTTAGTACTGTGTGCGTTCAATGTCAGGAGTGCATTCTGCGAGTCACAGTATATAAGTCCCAGAACACTGTGAACCTTTGTCCTTTAAAATTTCAGCCTGCAAGTTCGGTTTGAGTTGTACTTGCCCAATCATTGACGCGTTTCATTGTTGTTTGTACAAGAGAAGACTTCAAATACATGCACATCCTGTACATCGTCCACCTTCTTCTACACAACCGTCGGTATAGCACTGATACACATCGTTACCCATACTCTGAGTACTCTCAGTGATGCTGCACAGTGTTAACTGTTTTAATTATGTAGAGTTTACACTGTATTTCTTGGGTGTATTTACAAAATTAACTGATAGATCTCAGTTATCCCATGGAGTAATTGGTTGATTAATCATTAATTGAATTGGGTACATATTTAATATTATGATGGAGTTGGCTACCTTGTCGAACCAAAATGCATAATCTAATTTCGCTCTTCTATAGACCTCAGGTGAGTGTAGCATATTAGAATGTTTAGCTTGAAACTTCATGTGTTGCCGAGATCTACTCGATGCCTTCACACCGAAAACTGTGCTAATAGACAAAATTCTCTCATTTATGGTAGGTAATTTTAACTCTGCTCTCATATTAACTATTCTCGTGGACTTTGGAGCCCCAAGGGTGAGACGCATAGCTTCATTTTGCAAGGTTTCAAGAGATTTCAGCTCTTTGTCTGTATACAGTGTGAGATGTAGAGCATTGTAGTCAATCACAGAGCGTATAAATAAATGAATGTATACACAGAGCGTATACATTCTAGCAAGTCTCACTTTAGTTCTGGGTGTAAGGGAGGGGTGTTCACAGTGTTCTGGGTGTAAGGGAGGGGTGTTCACAGTGTTCTGGGTGTAAGGGAAGGGTGTTCACAGTGTTCTGGGTTTAAAGGAGGGGTGTTCACAGTGTTCTGGGTGTAAGGGAGGGGTGTTCACAGTGTTCTGGGTTTAAAGGAGGGGTGTTCACAGTGTTCTGGGTTTAAAGGAGGGGTGTTCACAGTGTTCTGGGTGTAAGGGAAGGGTGTTCACAGTGTTCTGGGTGTAAGCGAGGGGTGTTCACAGTGTTCTGGGTTTAAAGAAGGGGTGTTCACAGTGTTCTGGGTTTAAAGGAGGGGTGTTCACAGTGATCTGGGTGTAAGGGAAGGGTGTTCACAGTGTTCTGGGTTTAAAGAAGGGGTGTTCACAGTGTTCTGGGTTTAAGGGAAGGGTGTTCACAGTGTTCTGGGTTTAAAGGAGGGGTGTTCACAGTGTTCTGGGTGTAAGGGAAGGGTGTTCACAGTGTTCTGGGTTTAAAGGAGGGGTGTTCACAGTGTTCTGGGTGTAAGAGAGGGGTGTTCACAGTGTTCTGGGTGTAAGGAAGCGGTGCTTCACGGTGTTCTGGGACATAAGAGAGGGGTGTTCACAGTGTTCTGGGACATAAGAGAGGAGTGTTCCTAGTGTTCTGAGGGCATAAGAGAGGGATGTTCACAGTGTTCTGAGGGCATAAGAGAGGGATGTTCACAGTGTTCTGAGGGCATAAGAGAGGGATGTTCACAGTGTTCTGAGGGCATAAGAGAGGGATGTTCACAGTGCTCTGAGGGCATAAGAGAGGGGTGTTCACAGTGTTCTTGGACATAAGAGAGAGAGATGTTCACAGTGTTCTGGGACATAAGAGAGAGAGAGATGTTCACAGTGTTAAGGGACATAGAAGAGGGATGTTCACAGTGTTCTAGGGCATAAGAGAGGAATGTTCATAATGTTCTGGGTGTAACGAAGTGGTGTTCACAGTGTTCTGGGTGTAACGAATGGGTGTTCACAGTGTTCTTGGTGTAACGAAGTGGTGTTCACAGTGTTCTTGGTGTAACGAGTAGATGTTCACAGTGTTCTGGGTGTAACGAAGGGGTGTTCACAGTGTTCTGGGTGTAACGAAGGGGTGTTCACAGTGTTCTGGGTGTAACGAAGGGGTGTTCACAGTGTTCTGGGTGTAACGAAGTGGTGTTCACAGTGTTCTGGGTGTAACGAAGTGGTGTTCACAGTGTTCTGGGTGTAACGAAGTGGTGTTCACAGTGTTCTGGGTGTAACGAATGGATGTTCACAGTGTTCTTGGTGTAACGAACGGATGTTCACAGTGTTCTGGGTGTAACGAATGGATGTTCACAGTGTTCTGGGTATAAAGCAGTTCAGGAATCAAGATTTAATCAAATCAGGACTCGAAGCCTCATGTTTCAAGAGGACCAGAGCAGAGAAATTGAAGTCATTTCTTCCTGGCTTGGCTCAGGTGAGAGCCTCCCTGGTCACAATAGCTGGATAATGAGGCGTCAGCGGTAGACACATGCCTCCCTACCTCCTGTTCTCTGGGGACACAAGGAAGTCTCGTGAGTCCCCGAAGGTGCTGCCAGGTCCTGGTGATTTGGGGGGTGTAAGGGGTGTTCAAAGTGCTCTGGGTGTAAAGGAAAGGTGTTCATTCTGTTCTCGGTGTAAGAGAGAGGTGTTCACGTTATTCTGGGGGGTAAAGGATGAGTGTTCAAGTTGTTCTGGGTGTAAGGGAGTTGTGTCCTGCTCCACACCTTGTGGGGGCAGCCATGGCTGACCCCACAACACAAAGACAATCATAGCTGACCCCACAACACAAGGGCAGTTGACCCCACAACACAAGGGCAGTTGACCCCACAACACAAGGACAGCTGACCCCACAACACAAGGGCAGCTGACCCCACAACACAAGGGCAGTTGACCCCACAACACAAGGGCAGCTGACCCCACAACTCAAGGGCAGCTGACCCCACAACACAAGGGCAGCTGACCCCACAACACAAGGGCAGCTGACCCCACAACACAAGGACAGCTGACCCCACAACACAAGGGCAGCTGACCCCACAACTCAAGGGCAGCTGACCCCACAACACAAGGGCAGCTGACCCCCATAAAACAAGGGCAGCAGACCCCACAACACAAGGGCAGCTGACCCCACAACACAAGGGCAGCTGACCCCACAACACAAGGGCAGTTGACCCCACAACACAAGGGCAGCTGACCCCACAACACAAGGGCAGTTGACCCCACAACACAAGGGCAGCTGACCCCACAACACAAGGGCAGCTGACCCCACAACACAAGGGCAGCTGACCCCACAACACAAGGGCAGCTGACCCCACAACACAAGGGCAGCTGACCCCCACAACACAAGGGCAGCTGACCCCACAACACAAGGGCCGCTGACCCCACAAAACTAGGGCAGCTGACCCCACAACACAAGGGCAGCTGACCCCCACAACACAAGGGCAGCTGACCCCACAACACAAGGGCAGCTGACCCCACAACACAAGGGCAGCTGACCCCACAACACAAGGGCAGTTGACCCCACAACACAAGGGCAGCTGACCCCCATAACACAAGAGCAGCTGACCCCAAAACACAAGGGCAGCTGACCCCACAACACAAGGGCAGCTGACCCCACAGCACAAGAGCAGCTGACCCCACAACACAAGGGCAGCTGACCCCCAACAACACAAGGGCAGCCATAACTGACCCCACATCACAAGGGCAGATGATCCCACTACACTAGGGCAGCCATAACTGACCCCACAACACAAGGGCAGCTGACCCCACAACACAAGGGCCGCTGACCCCACAACACTAGGGCAGCTGACCCCACAACACAAGGGCAGCTGACCCCCAACAACACAAGGGCAGCCATAACTGACCCCACAGCACAAGGGCAGATGACCCCACAACACAAGGGCAGATGACCCCACTACACAAGGGCAGCTGACCCCACAACACAAGGGCAGCTGACCCCACAACACAAGGGCAGCTGACCCCACAACACAAGGGCAACTGACCCCACAACACAAGGGCAGCTGACCCCACAACACAAGGGCAACTGACCCCACAACACAAGGGCAACTGACCCCACAACACAAGGGCAGCTGACCCCACAACACAAGGGCAACTGACCCCACAACACAAGGGCAACTGACCCCACAACACAAGGGCAGCTGACCCCACAGCACAAGGGCAGCTGACCCCACAGCACAAGGGCAGCTGACCCCACAACACAAGGGCAGCCACCCGCCTCCCAGCAGGTGAAGGACAGCCATCATATTATCCCAGTAACCTCATTACCGTAATGGGAGTGAAGCAGCTCGCTGGAGTCGGTCTGCGGCCTCGCAATTACGGCAGAGTTCTGCGTTCTTCCCTGCGTCGCAGGCGGTCTATTGCGGCGCTGGGGGAGTTCTTGCGTCATCCCCGGTACTGGGGCATGTTGGGGAAGTGTTCCCTGTGGTACTGGGGCATGTTGGGGAAGTGTTCCCTGTGGTACTGGGGCATGTTGGGGAAGTGTTCATTGTGGTACTGGGGCATGTTGGGGAAGTGTTCTCTGTGGTACTGGGGCATGTTGGGGAAGTGTTCCCTGTGGTACTGGGGCATGTTGGGGAAGTGTTCTCTGTGGTACTGGGGCATGTTGGGGAAGTGTTCTCTGTGGTACTGGGGCATGTTGGGGAAGTGTTCTCTGTGGTACTGGGGCATGTTGGGGAAGTGTTCTCTGTGGTACTGGGGCATGTTGGGGAAGTGTTCTCTGTGGTACTGGGGCATGTTGGGGAAGTGTTCACTGTGGTACTGGGGCATGTTGGGGAAGTGTTCTCTGTGGTACTGGGGCATGTTGGGGAAGTGTTCACTGTGGTACTGGGGCATGTTGGGGAAGTGTTCTCTGTGGTACTGGGGCACGTTGGGGAAGTGTTCACTGTGGTACTGGGGCATGTTGGGGAAGTGTTCTCTGTGGTACTGGGGCACGTTGGGGAAGTGTTCACTGTGGTACTGGGGCATGTTGGGGAAGTGTTCTCTGTGGTACTGGGGCACGTTGGGGAAGTGTTCACTGTGGTACTAGGGCATGTTGGGGAAGTGTTCTCTGTGGTACTGGGGCATGTTGGGGAAGTGTTTTCACCGGTACTGGGGCATGTTGGGGAAGTGTTCTCTGTGGTACTGGGGCATGTTGGGGAAGTGTTCTCTCCGGTACTGGGGCATGTTGGGGAAGTGTTCTCTCCGGTACTGGGGCATGTTGGGGAAGTGTTCTCTGTGGTACTGGGGCATGTTTGGGAAGTGTTCTCTGTGGTACTGGGGCATGTTGGGGAAGTGTTCTCTGTGGTACTGGGGCATGTTGGGGAAGTGTTCACTGTGGTACTGGGGCATGTTGGGGAAGTGTTCTCTGTGGTACTGGGGCATGTTGGGGAAGTGTTCTCTGTGGTACTGGGGCATGTTGGGGAAGTGTTCACTGTGGTACTGGGGCATGTTGGGGAAGTGTTCTCTGTGGTACTGGGGCATGTTGGGGAAGTGTTCTCTGTGGTACTGGGGCATGTTGGGGAAGTGTTCACTGTGGTACTGGAGCATGTTGGGGAAGTGTTCTCTGTGGTACTGGGGCACGTTGGGGAAGTGTTCACTGTGGTACTAGGGCATGTTGGGGAAGTGTTCTCTGTGGTACTGGGGCATGTTGGGGAAGTGTTTTCACCGGTACTGGGGCATGTTGGGGAAGTGTTCTCTGTGGTACTGGGGCATGTTGGGGAAGTGTTCTCTCCGGTACTGGGGCATGTTGGGGAAGTGTTCTCTCCGGAACTGGGGCATGTTGGGGAAGTGTTCTCTGTGGTACTGGGGCATGTTGGGGAAGTGTTAGTAGTAGGGTGTAAGACGCACAGACGATTTTTTTTTTTTTGGGCGGGGGACCCCTGTGCGGTGTAAGACGCACAGACGATTTTTTTTTTTTTTGGGCGGAGGACCCCTGTGCGGTGTAAGACGCACAGGTAATTTTTTGTTTTTTCTGTGAAATATCGTGTCTGTAAGCCAGGGTTTTCAGGTAAATTTTGTCAGTCACAGATTTTAGAAGTAAGGATTTCTTATGAGAAAAATAATTTCCAAGACATAGAAGTTTGTTAAGGCCTTATGGGACAAATTCAAGTAACGTATGTAGCGCTTTAGGGTTTCCAGGTGAACTCTACGGACATATTTTACATGTTTTCAACTTACAAAATCGTCTATGTAATCCTTAGTTATTCATATAAATTTAGAAAATCACCTGTGTAAGTCATGGTTTTCAAGTCTCGTACCTCACACCCCCCTCCCTCCCCCCTTACCTCGCAATCTCTCGCGTCACCTTTATTTACCTTACGCCCGGACAGCCAGTCGGCTCTTAATCTTATCTTATCTTCATAATATCTGGACCGTCCCTCCTCTCTCTCTCTCTCTCTCTCTCCCTCCTCTCTCTCTCTCTCTCCTCTTCATATTATTCCCTCTTCCTATTTTCTGACATACTAATATTTTATTCCTTTTTCATTAACAGTCAGTTTTATACAAATCAACCGAAGCATCTCAATGTAACCTTTAATACTGAAAACTGCCTCAGAGACTATCTAAGCTGGCCCCAGCTACCTGCCCCAGGCTATCTGCCCGAGGCAATCATCACCTGATTACCTGCCCCAGACATCTACCAGTCATTGTCGGCGTTCGCCACCGTAATAATTTATATATATACATTAAGCGTTAATAAAACTTATTTATTTATTTATAATTTATTTAGTCATCTAATTCATAGTTTACACAATTTATAATAAAAGAGTTTATTCCCAGTATTCGCCAATCATTCTCGCTATTAATAAAACAGCCAAACGCTCACTCAGGGGCACACTATCGTTATTACGCTCATTCAGGGGCCCCCTCAGATCACCAAAGTCTCAGAGGCCTACACTTTCAGTCAACATTCAATCTTCATCCTGTTCACAAGGTTCCCCAGTCTAGTCATATCATCATGTCAGTATGTCCTCTGTGCCTGTCTCCTATCAACAACGAAATCGGGCATGTGTGTCAAACACGATGTTTAACATGCCTAGGTGAAATGTCCATCAACGCTCTTCAAGAATGCAGACTGTACTGTATAGGATGCAATGGACCTACACCGCCTGGACATTTTGACGTAACCTGTACCAGCTGTGGACAACTCTATTGTGCAAATCGTAAGTACCGCTTTTTCTCGCACATTCAATAAACTTTCAAAGAAAATATATATCCGAAACACACATACATACAGACAGACAGTTAATTTATATATATTATTTTCATTTCAGTTCATGGTTCTACTTCCTGCCCATACTGTCGTTTCTCCGTTAACCGGGAACCTCCCACCGAAGCCAGAAACGTCATTGAACCTCCACCCAAACGCCGTCGCATCATAAATAACCGTACGTTTTCACAATAATTTCGTAATTTAAAAGTTAATAATTGTATTTTTAACAAGTGTATAAACAAGTAATAAGTACTCATACAGAAAAATGTTTCCATTACAGGAGTTCCTATTCGTGATCAAGAGAATCTCATACTTGGTGGAATCAACATCCCAGCTCGTAAGTAATATTATTATTTATCTGTAATTCAGTTTTTCCTCTTATTTAAACTTTTTGTTTTTCCTCTTAATAATAATTCCTCTTATTTACACAATATTTTCCTATTAAGGTTTTCAAATCCTCTTATTGTTTTCAAATTTATTTTCCTCTTAATGTTTATTCATTGCTAATATTATATTACAGAATCTCCCCTGGATTCAACCCAACCCTCTGAGTGGAGCACACCTGTACGCAGTCAACCCCAGCTGTCCCAGGAGCTAGAAGAAGATGCACCAGACGGCAACCAGCAGGCATCCTCAGATGAAGAAGAAGAAGACAATCAACCCCCTGTTCACGACATATCAGATGAAGAAGTCAACGCTCCAGATTCCCCAGAGGTACTTAACTTAGATAACGTTGTTCCACGAGTGTTAGAAGTCATTAACCATTTCGAAGGAGCATTCTCGAGGCATTCTTTCTCCATTCCCGGTCATTTAGACGCCGACCCCAGCATTTATATAAATAGGTATAGGGAATTTTTTATAGAATATATAGACAATCAGTTCAGACAAATACAGGAAGAATTCCCTCCCTCATTTCACATTTACCCTGATGTAAGCCTAATTTTGCAAAAACTTAATCATGCCGACAATCAATATGAAATATTAGACGAAGTATTTTCAATTAGAGGCGAAACTCAGATTGTTACACAGGAAGAGGTGGAAGTTCTTGTAAATTCATGGGTTGACGAAATGTCTGCTAAAATTGACGAATGCCTAAAAAATGTCCAATCCTCAAGTGTAGGAATTCATTCCATGTCAGGCTTTGCCATTAATTTTTCATATATTCGCCACCCTATGCACCTTGGATCTTACGTACCATATCCTGCAAAATTAAGGGGTAAAGAATCAGTATTTAATCCTGAAAGTGAAGGAGATGAGTGTTTGTTACAGTGCATTGCCGCGTATAAAAACTTAGCATTGGGCAGGACCATGGATAACGTTAGACAACATTACAAAAGCCTTCGATGGTGTAGAAGATTCGTAGTATGGGCAGATGAAATCAGATTCCCCGTATCATTTGATAACCTTAAGAAAATAGAGAAGCTTAACAAAATTTCTATTTATATTTATACAATAACTCATGAAAGTAACAGATACTATCTTAGTTTAGCTAGGAAAAGCCAGGAAAAGTATGCCGATAAAGTCCCTTTGTTGTTATTAGAAGGCAAGCATCTCTGTCTGATCAAGGACTTTGATAAATTTGTAAAGAATATTAACCATAATCGGTATAAAATTCCTGACACTCATAAATTCTGTAAAATTTGCCTTTTGCATGCTCCCTTAGATGAAATTCAGGCTCACGAAGAGTCATGCACTGTACCCCAAGTATTTTCATTCTATAACACTAATGATAAAATCAGTTTTAAAAATTACGGTAGGACCTATAGCCCAACTCACACCGCCTATTACGATTTTGAATGTCTATTAGACCGTCAAAATCCTAGAGGCATGGTGGAATGTAAGCATAAAGCAATTGCTTATGCTTACATGATTTTAGACAGGGAATTCAATGTCGTAGATACGTATTCATACGTAGGCCCAGACGCTGTCAATCATTTTATTACAAAGCTAGAAGCCTCATGGAAAGCTATTCATGCTCAGCTCCCCAACTTCCCTAAGAACTTGTCTAGAGAACAGGAAAGAATGTTTCAAAGACAAAATACGTGTCAATTGTGTCATCAAACTTTCAAGGATAAGAAAGATAAACATAGACATCATAATCATGCTATTCAGGAAAATAATTACTTAGGTGCTTATTGTGCTCGTTGCAATTTACAATGTAAAAATGCTCGTAGATACTTGACCACATTTTCCCATAATGCTGCCTATGATCTTGGAATTATACTTAAAGAACTGTCCAAAAATCCTCACCGCGATGTAGAAATTCTAACCAAGGAAGGATTGAAATTTATGCAAGTCATCGTAGGTAAACTTAAATTCCTAGATAGCCTAGCTCTCCTTAATGGGTCATTAGGAACCTTAGCAAGCGAGCAAGTTGCCGGTAAGAAACCCACCAAGTACACTGAACACATACTAAATGGTGTATCCGATGAAGCTAAAGCTCTGTTAATTAAAGGTAAACAAAGCCTATGTTATGATTATATTTCTTCCATGGACGTGTTAGATGAACCTCAGCTCCCTTCGCGAGATAAGTTTTACAATGTTTTACATGACTCTCCACTGTCTGAAGAAGATTATAACAATGCTCTTAAAGTATTTAATTTAGGGAACTGTACAAACATCAAGGATTACCTCATGTTATATTTAAAAGTTGACGTGGGAATGCTAGTTGATATATTTACACTTTGGCGAACATCACTGAAAGAAATTTATGAACTAGATATTGTTTTCTATGTATCACTTCCTAGTTACGCTTGGGACGCGTTCTTATTTAAATCAAAAGTTGTACTTGACTATGTGTATGATCAGAATGTATATGATTTGTTGAGAAGGAATCTTAGAGGAGGGTTCACATCTTCCATTAGACAATTTACACAGGCTGTTAACGAGCACACTACATCTAACCCTAGCTCTGATGACGATACTCACATTTTGTACCTCGACTTTAACAGCTTATATGCAGCGTGCATGGCTGAGGTACTTCCCCAGGGAGGGATTAGACAATTAACTGACCTTGAGCGGGATACCTTATTAGGGCAAGGGTTACAACATATCCCCTGTAATCAAGACAAAGGCTATTGGATTTTATGCGATACAAAACATGTATCTCCCGAGGTAGCCAGGTATACTGATGATCTGCCCCTTGTACTGTCTCATACTAATATAACGGAGGAGTTTTTGTCAGAGTACAGTAAGAAAACCCTTAATGATGAAAAACGTAAGCTCCCACCTAAAAATACTAAGTTAATTGCATCCCACTTGCCCCAAAACGACTACTTAGTAAGCCTTGATTTCCTGCAATTGC